CCAACAGCCTGAGTGGCTGCCACCTGATGGCTGATTAGCAGAGGCTGAGGAAAACAGATGGCACTGAGGCCTTACCTCTAGGGTAGAAGAAATGAGGTACAGGAGTGGCAGTGAGTGAGGTTGGTGGCTGGTCTACCTGCTCCTGGCACACTCTTGCAGAGGTGGCTGGTTGCTCTTTGAGCCAGCTTGGCCTTGCCCGGCGTGCACAAGCCTCAGTGCAACAATTGTCTTACAAATGGAGACATATAGAGGAAATGAGCAGCAACTCAGGAGCAGGGTGTGTGCTGCCTTTAAAACACCAGTCAATTCCTCAGGGCTCAGATGGTACTGCGGGCTTCTTCGTTGCCAAGAGGCAGACCACGGGCTGTCTTGAGGAGGACTTTATATTCAAGTGCAGAAAGCAGCCAGGATTGCAATCCAGGGACTAGGCATTCTGTGGCCCTGGCCAGACTTTGAATGTGGCCACAGGCAGGACAAGCTCACTCAGAGCAGCACATCGGTACCTGGGGTCTGTGCATGCCAGGCAAGGCCAAGTTGGCTCAAAGAGCAACCAGCCACCTCTGCAAGGGTGCGCCTGGAGCAGGTGCTGATGGAGCAGAGGCCTGAGGACCCTGCCTTCTGTGGTCCTGGGTAGATTTAAAATTTGGCCCCAGGCAGGACAAGATCACTCGGAGCAGCTGGGGCATGTTCATGCAAGGCAAGGCCATGGTGGCTCAAAGAGCAACCAGCCACCTCTGCAACGGTGCACCTGGAGCAGTTGCACCAGCGTACAACTTCACCCACTCAGGGAAGTAGGGATGGCCAGGTCCCAAAAGCCGGACTGGCTGCCACCTGATTGCTGATGGAGCAGAGGCCTGTGGAAAAGCAGACGGCACTGAGGCCTTACCTCTAGTGTAGAAGAAATGAGGTACACGAGCGACAGTGAGTGAGGTTGGAGGCTGGTCCACTGGCTCCTGGCACACCCTTGCAGAGTTGGCTGGTTGCAAGCCAGTTTGGCCTTGCCCCGCATGCACAAGCCTCAGTGCAACAGCTGTCTTACAAATGGAGTCATATAGAGGAAATGAGCAGCAGGCTCAGGAGCAGGGTATGAGCTGCCTTTAGGGCTCCAGTCAGTTCCTCAGGGCTCAGATGGCACTGCAGGCTTCTTCATTGTGAAGAGGTAGACCACAGGCCGTCTTGAGGAGGACTTTATATTCAAGTGCAGAAAGCAGCCAGGATTTCCACCCAGGGGCCTAGGCCTTCTGTGTCCCTGGCCAGACTTAGAATTTGGCCTCAGGCAGGACAAGCTCACTCAGAGCAGCACTTTGGTACCTACATTCTATGCATGCCAGGCAAGGCCAAGCTGTCTCAAAGAGCAACTAGCCACCTCTGCAAGGGTGCCCCTGGAGCAGGTGGAGCAGCCACCAACCTCACCCACTCAAGGAAGCAGGGATGGCCAGATTCCAACAGACTGAGTGGCTGCCACCTGATGTCAGATGGAACAGAGGCCCGAGGAAAAGCAGATGACACTGAGGCCTTGCCACTAGGGTAGAAGAAATTAAGTACCTTGACCGGCAGCGAGTGAGGTTGGTGGCTGATCCACCGGCTCCTGGCACACCCTTGCAGAGTTGGCTGGTTGCTCTTTGAGCCAGCTTGGCCTTGCCTGGCATGCACAAGCCTCAGTGCAACAATTGTCTTACAAATGGAGCCACACAGAGAAAAGGAGCAGGAGGCTCAGGAGTAGGGTGTGGGCTGCCTTTAGGGCTCCAGTCAATTCCTCAGGGCTCAGATGGCACTGCGGGCTTCTTCATTGCCAAGAGGCAGATCACAGGCCGTCTTGAGGAGGACTTTATGTTCAAGTGCAGAAAGCAGCCAGGATTTTCACCCAAGTTCCTAGGATTTCTGTGGCCCTGGCCAGGCGTAAAATTTGGACCCAGGCAGGACAAGTTCACTCAGAGCAGAATGTCCATACCTGGAGTCTGTGCATGCCAGGCATGGCCACGCTGCCTCAAAGAGCAACCAGCCACCTCTGCAAGGGTGCGCCCAGAGCAGGTGGAGCAGCCACCAACCTCACCCACTCAAGGAAGCAGAGATGGCCAGATTCCAACAGACTGAGTGACTGCCACCTGATGACTGGTGGAGCAGAGGCCTGAGGAAAAGTAGATGGCACTGGGGCCCTACCTCTAGGGTAGAACTGATGTACCATGAGCGGCAGTAAGTGAGGTTGGTGGCTGGTCCACTGGCTCCTGGCACACACTTGAAGAGGTGGCTGGTTGCTCTTTGAGCCAGCTTGGCTTGCCTGGCATGAACAAGCCTCAGTGCAACAATTGTCTTACAAATGGAGCCATATTGAGGAAAAGAGCAGCAGGCTCAGGAGCCATGTGTGGGCTGCTTTTGGGCTCCAGTCAGTTCCTCAGGGCTCAGATGGCACTGCGGGCTTCTTCATTGCCAAGAGGCAGACCAGAGGTCATCCTGAGGAGGACTTTATGTTCAAGTGCAGAAAGCAGAAAGGATTTCCACCCAGGGGCCTAGGCCTTCTGTGGCTCTGGGCAGACTTAGGATTTGGCCTCAGGCAGGACAAGCTCACTGAGAGCAGCACTTTGGTACCTGCATTCTGTGCATACCAGGCAAGGCCAAGCTGGCTCAAAGAGCAGCCAGCCACCTCTGCAAGGGTGCGCCCAGAGCAGCAGGAACAGCCACCAACCTCACCCACTCAAGGAAGCAGGGATGGCCAGATTCCAACAGACTGAGTGACTGCCACCTGATGGCTGAAGGATCAGAGGCCTGAGGAAAAGCAGATGGCACTGGGGCTCTACCTCTAGGGTAGAACTGATGTACCATGAGGGGCAGCGAGTGAAGTTGGTGGCTGCTCCACCGGCTCCTGGCACACCCTTGTACAGGTGGCTGGTTGCTCTTTGAGCCAGCTTGGCCTTGCCTGGCATACACAAGCCTCAGTGCAACAATTGTCTTACACATGGAGCCATATAGAGGAAAGGAGTAGCAGGCTCAGGAGCAGGGTGTGTACTCCCTTTAGGGCTCCAGTCAATTCCTCAGGGCTCAGATGGCACTGCGGGCTTCTTGTTGCAAATGAGGAGACCACAGGCCATCTTGAGGAGGACTTTATGTTCAAGCGCAGAAAGCGCTTGGATTTAAACCCAAGGGACTCAGCCTTCTGTGGCCCTGGTCAGAGTTAGAATTTGGCCTAGGAAGGACAAGTCACTTGGAGCAGCTGGGACCCGTGCATGCAAGGCAAGGCCATCCTGGCTCAAAGACCAACCAGCCACCTCTGCAAGGTTGCACCTGGAGCAGTTGCACCAGCCACCAACCTCACCCACTCAAGGAAGTAGGGATAGCCAGGTCCCAACAGTCGGACTGGCTGCCACCTGATGGCTGACAGAGCAGAGGCTTGAGGAAAAGTAGGTGGCACTGAGGCCTTACCTCTAGGGTAGAAGAAATGAGGTACACTGACCATCAGTGAGTGAGGTTGGTGGCTGGTCCACCGGCTCCTGGCACACCCTTGCAGAGTTGGCTGGTTGCAAGCCAGCTTGGCCTTGCCTGGCATGCACAAGCCTCAGTGCAACAACTGTCTTACAACTGGAGTCCTATAGAGGAAATGAGCAGCAGGCTCAGGAGCAGGGTGTGTGCTGCCTTTAGGGCTCCAGTCAGTTCCTCAGGGCTCAGATGGCACTGCGGGCTTCTTCATTGTGAAGAGGTAGACCACAGGCCGTCTTGAGGAGGACTTTATATTCAAGTGCAGAAAGCAGCCAGGATTTCCACCCAGGGGCCTAGGCCTTCTGTGGCCCTGGCCAGACTTAGAATTTAGCCCCAGGCAGGACAAGCTTACACAGAGCAGTGTCAGTTTCTGGGGCCTGTGCATGCCAGGCAAGTCCAGGCTGGCGCAAAGAGCAACCAGTCACTTCTGCAAGGGTGCACCTGGAGAAGGTGGTTCAGCCGCTAACTTCACCCTCTCAAGAAAGCAGGGATGGCCAGGTTCCAACAGTCTGAGTGACTGCCGCCTGATGGCTGATGGAGCAGAGCGCTCAGGAAAAGCAGTTGGCACTGTCGCCCTACGTTTAGGATAGAAGAAAGGATTTACCATGTCTGGCAGCGAGTGAGGATGGTGGCTGGTCCACCTTCTCCTGGCACACTCTTGCAGAGGTGGTTGGTTGCTCTTTGAGTCAGCTTGGCCTTGCCTGGCATGCACAAGCCTCAGTGCAACAATTGTCTTACAAAGGGAGCCATATAGAGGAAAGGAGCAGCAAGCTCTGGAGCAGGGTGTGCGCTGCATTTAAGACTCCAGTCAATTCCTCAGGGCTCAGATGGCACTGCGGGCTTCTTCGTTGCCAAGAGTCAGACCACAGGGCATCTTCAGGAGGACTTTATGTTCAAGTGCAGAAAGCAGCCAGGATTGCAATCCAGGGGACTAGGCATTCCGTGGCCCTGGCCAGACTTAGAATTTGACCCCAGGCAAGACAAGCTGACTCAGAGCAGCACATCGGTGTCTGTGGTCTGTGCATGCCAGGCAAGGCCAAGCTGGCTCAAAAAGCAACCAGCCAACTCTGCAAGGGTGCGCCTGGAGCAGGTGCTGATGGAGTAGAGGCCTGAGGTCTCTGCCTTCTGTGGCCCTGGGCAGATTTAAAAGTTGGCCCCAGGCAGCACAAGATCACTCGGAGCAGCTGGGGCATGTGCATGAAAGGCAAGGCCATCCTGGCTCAAAGAGCAACCAGCCACCTCTGCAAGGGTGTGCCAGGAGCAGTTGCACCAGCCGCCAACCCCACCCACTCAAGGAAGTAGGGATGGCCAGGTCCCAAAAGCCGGACTGGCTGCCACTTGATGGCTGTCGGAGTAAAGGCCTGAGGAAAAGCAGATGGCACTGAGGCCTTACCTCTAGGGTAGAAGAAATGAGGTACACGAGCAGCAGTGGGTGAGGTTGGTGGCTGGTCCACCTGCTCCTGGCACACCCTTGCAGAGGTGGCTGGTTGCTCTTTGAGCCAGCTTGGCCTTGCCTGGCATGCACAAGCCTCAGTTCAACAATTGTCTTACAAATGGAGCCATATTGAGGAAAAGAGCAGCAGGCTCAGGAGCAGGGTATGAGCTGCCTTTAGGGCTCCAGTCAATGCCTCAGTGCTCAGATGGCACTGCGGGCTTCTTCTTTGCCAAGAGGCAGACCACAGGCCATCTTGAGGAGGACTTTATTATATTCAAGTGCAGAAAGCAGAAAGAATTTCCACCCAGGGGCCTAGGTCTTCTGTGGCCCTGACCAGACTTAGAGTTTGGCCTCAGGCAGGACAAGCTCACCTGGAGCAGGTGGAGCAGCTGCCAACCTCACCCACTCAATGAAGCAGGGATGACCAGTTTCCAACAGCCTGAGTGGCTGCCACCTGATGGCTGATGGAGCAGAAGCCTGAGGAAAAGCAGATGGCACTGGGGCCCTACCTCTATGGTAGAACTGATGTACCATGAGCGGCAGTGAGTGAGGTTTGTGGCTGGTCCACTGGCTCCTGGCACACCCTTGCAGAGGTGGCTGGTTGCTCTTTGAGCCAGCTTGGCCTTGTGTGGCATGCACAAGCCTCAGTGCAACAATTGTCTTACAAATGGAGCCGTATAGTGGAGAGGAGTAGCAGGCTCAGGAGCAGGGTGTGCACTGCTTTTAGGGCTCCAGTCAATTCCTCAGGGCTCAGATGGCACTGCGGGCTTCTTGGTTGCAAATAGGGAGACCACATGACGTCTTGAGGAGGACTTTATGTTCAAGTGCAGAAAGCAGCCAGGATTTCCACCCAAGGGACTCGGCCTTCTGTGGCCCTGGCCAGACTTAGAATTTGGCCCCAGGCAGGACAAGCTCTCTCAGAGCAGCACTTTGGTACCTGCAGTCTGTGCATGCCAGGCAAGGCCAAGCTGGCTCAAAGGGCCACCAGCCATCTCTGCAAGGGTGCACCCGGAACAGGTGGAGCAGCCATCAACCTCACCCACTCAAGGAAGCAGGGATGGCCGGATTCCAACAGCCTGAGTGACTGCCACCTGATGGCTGATGGAGCAGAGACCTGAGGAAAAGCAGATGGCACTGAGGCCTTACCCCTGGGGTAGAACAAATGATGTACCCTGACTGCCAGTGAGATTGGTGGCTGGTCCATGGGCTCCTGGCACACCCTTGCAGAGGTGGTTGGTTGCTCCATGAGCCAGCTTGGCCTTGTCCTGCATGCACAAGCCTCATTGTGACAATTGTCTTATAAATGGAGCCATATAGAGGAAATGAGCAGCAGGCTCAGGAGCACGGTGTACCCTGCCTTTAGGGCTCCACTCAATTCCTCAGGGCTCAGATGGCATTCTGGGCTTCTTTCCTGCCAAGGCTCAGACGACAGGCCATCTTGAGGAAGACTTTATGTTCAAGTGCAGAAAGCAGCCAGGATTTCCACCCAGGGGCCTAGGTCTTCTGTGGCCCTGGCAAGACTTAGAATTTGGCCCCAGGCAGGACCAGCTCACTCAGAGCAGCATGTTGGTGCCTGGGGTCTATGCATTCCAGGGAAAACCAAGCTGGCTCAAAGAGCAACCAGTGACTTCTGCAAGGGTGCACCTGGATCAGTTGCAGTAGCCACCTACCTCACCCACTCAAGGAAGTAAGGATGGCCAGGTTCCAACAGCCGGACTGTCTGCCACCTGATGGCTGATGGAGCTGAGGCCTGAGGAAAATCGGAAGACACTGGGGCCCTACCTCTAGGGTAGAGGAACTGATGTACCCGACCGGCAGTCAGTGGGATTGGTGGCTGGTTCACCAGCTCCTGGCACACCCTTGGAGAAGTGGCTGGTTTCTCTTAGAGTCAGCTTGGCCTTGCCCCGCATGCACAAGTCTCAGTGCAATAACTGTGCTACAAATGGAGCCATATAGAGGAAATGAGCAGCAGGCTTAGGAGCAGGGTGTGCAGTGCCTTTGGGGCTCCAGTCCATGCCTCAGGGCTCATATGGCACTGCGGGCTTCTGGTTTTAAAGAGGCAGACCACAGGCCTTCTTGAGGACTTCGTGTTCCAAAACAGAAAGCAGCCAGGATTACCACCCAGGGGACTCGGCCTTCAGTGGCCTTGACCAGACTTAGAATTTGGCCCAAGGCAGGACAAGCTCACTCAGAGGAGCATTTCAGTAGCTGGGGCCTCTGCATGCCAGGTGAGGCCAAGCTGGCTCAAAGAACAACCAGCCACCACTGCAATGGTGCACCTGGAACCGGTGGACCAGCCAGAAACCTCACCTACTGAAGGAAGCAGGGATGGCCAGATTCCAACAGCCTGAGTGGCTGCCACCCGATGGCTGATGGAGCAGAGGCCCGAGGAAAAGCAGATGACACTGAGGCCTTGCCACTAGGGTAGAAGAAATTATGTACCTTGACCGGCAGCGAGTGAGGTTGGTGGCTGGTCCACGGGCTCCTGGCACACCCTTGCAGAGTTGGCTGGTTGCTCTTTGAGCCAGCTCGGTCTTGCCTGGCATGCACATACCTCAGTGCAACAATTGTATTACAAATGGGGCCATATAGAGGAAAGGAGCAGCAGGCTCAGGAGCAGGGTGTGCACTGCCTTTAGGGCTCCAGTCAATTCCCCAGGGCTCAGATGGCACTGCGGGCTTCTTTGTTGTCAAGAAGCAGACCACAGGCCGTCTGAAGGAGAACTTTATATTCAAGTGAAGAAAGCAGCCAGGATTGCAATCCAGGGGTCTAGGCTTTCTGTGACCCTTTCCAGACTTAGAATTTGGCCTCAGGCAGGACAACTCACTCAGAGCGGTACGTGGGTAGCTGGGGCCTGTGTATGACAGGCAAGGCCAAGCTGGTTCAAAGAACAGCCTGCCACCTTGGCAAGGGTGTGCGTGTAGCAGTTGGACCAGTCACCAACCTCACACACTGAAGGAAGCAGGGATGGTCAGGTTCCCAAAGCCTGAGTGCCTGCCACCTGATGGCTGCTGGAGCAGAGGCCTGAGGAAAGCAGATGGCACTGAAGCCCTACCTCTAGGATAGAAGAAATGATGTATGCTGAACGGCAGTGAGTGAGGTTGGTGTGCTGGTCCACCGGCTCCTGGCACACCCTTGCAGATTTGGCTCATTGCTCTTTGATCCAGCTTGGCCTTGCCAGGTATGCACAAGCCTCAGTGCAACAATTGTGCTGCAAATGGAGCCAGACAGAGGAAATGAGCAGCAGGCTCAGTGGCAGGGTGTGTACTTGCTTTAGGGCTCCAGTCCATGCCTCAGGGCTTGTATGGCACTGCGGGCTTCTTGGTTACCTCCACAAGCCATCTTGAGGAGGAGTTTATGTTTTAAAATGCAATTCAAATGAGCATAAAACATTTACAGCCTAGGAAAAGGCTTATGGCATTAGAATCCTTATTTATATGAGTACTTTGTGTTTTTTTGAGATATGGTCTTTGTCTCTCATCCAGGCAGAAGTGAAGTAATTTTGTCATAATTCACCACCGCCATGAACTCTGAGTCCAATCCATCCTTTTGCCTTGGTCTCCCAATTAGTTGGAGCTGCAAGCATAAGGCACCATGCCTGGCTAGTTTTTTAAATGTGGTTTTGTTGTTGTTGAGAGTATAGTATCATTATGTTGCTCTGGCTGGTCTCAAATTCCCAGCCTAATGTGATCTTTCTGCCACAGCCTCCTAAAGTGCTGGAATTACAGGCATGAGCCACCATGCCTAGCATAGAGTAGTACATTATTTTCAAAGTCTTATTCTAAGATCCATTTATTGACTTTGGCCTAAATAACTCAATATAATATCTCAGAAACTTTTTTTTGACAAATTTTGGGGCATGATGATGAGAGAAGGGGGTTCAAAACTTTCTAATAAGAGTTAACTTGGAGCCATTTAAGGAGGAACAAACACAAATTATCAGAAAAATAAAAGAAAGATCAAGTGCAGAAGTTCTGTGGCAAAGATGAGAGTAAAGAATATATGATTGTGACTCATGGTGGCTTTTACTTTGTTCTTGAATTTCTGAGTAATTTAAGGGTTAACATTTAAAGAATGTATGTTATAGATAACATTTTATTGCAAGTAAATATATTTCAAATTTTGTTACTGGTTTTGTATGAGATTATTCTCAGCCTCCTTCATTATCAAGCTGTATTATTTTATTAATGTAGTTTGACGATCTTACAACACAGCTGGGAGCTGTATCTTCAAAATATGTCTATTTGACTAAATAAAATCAAGTTATTCAATGGGAGTTACTATCTATGAAAAAAGTACAACAGGAATGTAAAAAATTTGAGGAGGATAAAAATATGTTGGAAGAAGAAATATTAAATCTTAAGATGCTTATGGAAAGAACACACTGGTGAAGACAAATTGGTGATGTACAAAATTATAAATTGGATCTAGAAGAAAGCGCAATGCAGGCAATAGAAAAATGAGTAGAAATCCCTTTACAGGTTAGTTTGTAAAATCAGGTAAGTTTATTTATAATGTGCTTCTATTTATTTCACTGCAAATTATATTTTAGAGATATATATATATTTCCTCTGCCTCTCTAATAGCAATTTGCCTTGTAGAATTCTAGCAATAAGGTGGCATCTGTTTTTACTTTCAAGTATTTAAATTTCCATCATTATAACAAAATTGATTTTTCAGAGTAATGATTCTCACTGTGGAGTCATTTGATTAATAAGACCCATTGGCATAAGATTACATCCTCTGACTACAAAAATCCTGGAAGAAAAACTGGGAAATATTCTTCTGGACATTGCACTTCGCAATGAATTTGTGGGTAAGTACTCAAAAGCAATTGCCAGAAAAATGAAAACTGACAAGTGGGATTTATTTAAACTAAATAGCTTCTTCTGCACAGCATGAGAAACTATCATGGGATTGAACAGACAGCCTACAGAATGGAAGAAAATATCCACACACTATGCACCTGTAATCCCAGCTACTCGGGGGGCTGAGGCAGGAGAATCATTGGAATCCGGGAGGCGGAGGTTGTAGTGAGCTGAGATCACGCCATTGCACTCCAGGTCGAGACTGCGTCTCAAAAATAAATAAATAAATAAATAAATAAATAAATAAATAAATAAAATAAAAACAAATAAAAAAAGCTAGAAGTTCTATGAAAACATTAATGCACATATAGTCTTTTAAAAATGTTCATTGTTTCTCTAGAGAGTTCAATACCTATTCTAGCTTATTACAGTAACCTACAGTTTATATTATATCAACTATGGCATAAAAACCTTAAATTGTATATTTCTGTTTCCTCCCTCCTTTACACTATTTATGTCATGCACTATAGTCTCAAATATTATGAATTCCATGATGTGAAGTTACTCTTTTTAAAAAAAAAAAATTTAGACAATCCATGATCTTTAGAGCAATGTAAAATAATTGGGCTACATATCTTTATATCTTCCCTGGCACTCTTTATTTCTTTGAGTAGTTTCAACATTCATCTGCTTCCATATTCCTTTTGCCTCAAGAAATCGTTTTGACGTTTATTTTACTGCAGACCTGTTAGCAAGGGACTCTTCCAGTGTTAATCTGAAAATGTCTTCATTTAATTGTTATTTTAGTTATATAGTTAATGGATATAAGATTGGGGACTGATTTTTTTTTAGTTATTTAAAAATTTTGTATCATTGGTTTGTGACTTGTAGAGTTGCTGACAAGCAGTTCACTGTAATGTTTGTTTTTGTTTATCTCTGTACACAATGTTCCTATTTTTCTGTAACTGAATTCAAGATTTATGCTAATCGTTGGTTTTCATCAGTTAGACTAGTGTGATTATTCTAGCGTTCTTTAAATTTTTTATTAATCTTTCTTGGAGCTTTTTGAGGTTGCTTGGGGTCCTCAGTCATCTTTTTCCAATTTTTCTTCTCTCACACTCTGTTTTTAATCTCCTTCTGGAATTCCAATTAATTGTATTTTAGTTAATTTCGTATTGGCAGAGAATTCTTGGACTCACCAGAGTATTTTATTTGCTTGGTTCATTGGTTTATTTTGTTTTCCTCTTTCTTCCCTTTGTGCTGCCATTCAAATAAGTTGTGTTGGCCTAATATAAAATTAGCTGCTTCTTTCTTAACTCTGATGACCAGTCTGCTAATCAGCTTGCTGATGTAATTCTTCATCTCTGTTCTCAAGCTTTCACTTATTTCTAGCTTTTGCCTTTTACTGTTCCCATCTCTGCTGAAATTCCTCATTTTTCCATGCATGTCTTTTTTTTTTTAACTAGATCCTTTAACATTTTGATCATTATTATTTTAAATTACTTGCATTTAGTTCCAACATCTGAATTATCTCTGAATTTGATTCTGTCGACTTTTTATCTTTTGAAAATATTATAACTCATAACTCAAATTTCTAACTTGCTTTTATGTGTCTCCCAGTTTCTAAAAAATGCAAATCATCAGATGTACAAAAACAGTAGCTCATGAGATAATTACTTATGTCAAGATTGTTTTATGTTTCTGTTTCATTTTGGTTTGTGTCCTGCTATTAGTGTGGGCAGGAACAAAGGCTGGTTTTTGCTGTGGTGTCTGAAACATTCAGTGAACCATGTAACTTCAATTTCTCCAGCAGTAGGCTGCCATACCATGTGCCTTGTGTGGGGCCTTAGGCTCTGCAGGGCATATGCCAATGCTCCTGTTCCACAGTTACCTTCCGGTAGTCCTTACCACCTATGTCACAGAGAGGGTCTCTCTCCACTTTCTTGTTCCTCTCTAACTGTAGAACATCATTTCTTGTGTGTGTGTGACTATGCAGAAAATTGAGGTTGGGAGCAGAGGGATGATTCATGTTATTTTGGAGCCAGTTTCATCATCGGAGTCTCAGAGAAGGGATATTTTTAGCACTTCGCGACTCTTATTCCAGTGGGAGTCAAACTGTCCCTTATCTGTGTTGGTTTTTGAGGAAGAAATAATATCTTGCCTCCTCCCACCTCAGTGGTAGAAAACCTTTGATTTATATCATTGAAAGTTTTCAAACCCACCATAAGGGCTAACTCTTTTCTTTCTCCTTCCATAGGAACAATGCACCTTTGTCTGTGGTCACTGGATGGAGATTTTCCAACCCTTTACCACAGTAGCACGACTCTGCATTAGTGCAAAATCCTGGGCCCCAAAACAATCCTTGTTCCTCTCCTGATGGAGAAGTATTTTTCCTCCATCCGTGCCCTAGAAGCAGTGATCCTTTGCCTGGTCTCAGGTGGGGTGGAGTAGGGTGTGAGAGGTTTCTTAACCTTCTCTGAAAGCTGATGTGTTTTGCTTCTTCTTATCTCCCAGAAACAGTAGACTTTTGCATGGCTTGTGGACCTAGATGTCTTTAAGCCACAGCAAATTAAGCATTTTGATTCTTAGGAGAGAAGCAAATGTTCATGTAGTCCATTTTTTTCTTATTTATTTTTTGCTTTGTTTTCTTATTTCAGTCATGATGAGTTGAATATGATCATGATTTTCCAGTTAAGCCGCTTGCATTTCTAAAATTTTATGAGTCCCCCTTTGGCCTTTCAGCACTAAATCAAATGCAGATAATCATCACTTGTGTGAATAAAGTGTTTTCATTGAGAACAGAATTGTTCATATACACACGAATGTGGATATTATCTACTCAGCACAATATGTCATTGTTTCAAAATGTAAAATCTGCTTTAGGCTGAACAAAGAATGGTTCTTGAAACTATTTTCCCTTTGTGATCAATTCAAAAAACCCAGTGCTTTCTATCTCATGGGTAGATTATTAAAATAATTACATACCTGATCTTCATTTTATGTTCTCTCTCTTCGAGATATTTCCTTCAAAACTACTTTGACTAATTAGTCTCTTTTGGATTACGTTATACTCTGTATTTTCTTCACAAGCTCATCAGGGTAAATCCTGCCTTTACATTTGTTATAAAAATTCTCTCTCTCTCTCTTTTTTTTTTTTCAAATCTTATTTGAGCTGAAAGCTCTCCACCAAATGTCTCCTATGCCACAAAGCCTTATTTTACTGATCTCTCCTGTCCTCCTTGCTCAAGCTCATTTAGGAATTTTTTTAATGAAAATATTCAAGGAATACTTTTTTAAAAAAAGTATGAATATATAGTATTTTCAATTTGAACACAAAATACTGCTCTACTTGAAAACAAGTTTTAGAAACAATTAAATATTTCTAGAAGGAGAATCAACAGTGTCATAAATATCATAATCCAATTTTCCTGTTTGTACTAAAACACACAGTAGCAAATATTTACTGAGAAATTACTATCTGCCTTAAAGTATAATGCTTTTGATACACGTTATAAAAACTAGGTACTATTATTAGCAGTATTTTAAGAGTAAAAATATCGAGTCTTAGAGATGTTAAGCAATGTGCACAAATAGCATAGGGAAAGTTGGAGTTCTGAAATTCTGACTATGCTGTATGTATGATAGGAGAATCAATTCTTGTCAAATGTAACTGTCAAGTCATTGTGCAGATTCGGAGGTCTCTGATTGCTAGGGTCAGTACACTTAAATTATGTCACAATTTAGTTAAATCTATTTCATTAAAGCAAAATTCCATGTATAATTTCACAAAGATTATTGGCACCAAAAACATTATTTTTCCTTCCTTCCTTCCTTTCTTTCTCCTTCCTTCCTTCCTTCTTTCCTTCCTTCCTTCCCTCCTTCCTTCCTGCTTTCTTGCTTTCTTTCTCTTGTTCTTTTGTTCTCTTTCTCTTTCTTTCTTTGAGATAGGGTCTCAGTCTGTTGCCCAAGCTGGAGTGCAGTGACACAATCATGGTGCACTGCAGTCCCAGCTTCCCCAGGTTCACGTGATCCTCCCACCTCATCCTCCTGAGTATCTGGGACTAAAGGCAAGCCACCACACCTGGCTTTTTTTTTTTTTTTTTTCAAGATTGGGTTTCACTGTACTGCCAAACCTGGTCTGCAACTCCTCAGCTCAAACAATCCACCTGCCTTTGCCTCCTAAAGTATTGGGATTCCAGATGTAAGCCACATGCCTGGCAAATAATGTTATTCGATAAGTTCAATTTAACTATTAGATTTTGGACAATGAGAGATAGAATTTTCTATATCATAATTCATCTTGTGTTCTTATTTGAAGTAATATATAAGGATTTCAATTCCACTCAAATATATTTATTAGCAAATTAAATTTCTTTTTCAGGATTCCAAACTTTTGTTCAAGATATAAATGCTAAATGATGTCACTAATTTTAATTAGATTAACAGAAAGGTATTCTGGTGTTTAATAACAGTGACAGAATGGGCTATTGATTTTATTTTCTTTCTCTTTGTCTCTTTCCCCTTTTTAAAATATTTTACTTTTTAGGCTCTTTGGAATCCCAAAGATAGAGTTTTAAGAATTAAACAAAACACTCACAGAAACTGCCAATGCTAGGATGAAATATATTGTTACTGTGCTTTGGGATTAAAATAAGGAACTACAGTTTACAGAACTTTTATACTGATACACAGACACTAAAAAGGGAAAGGGTTTGGATGAGAAATTCTGCTATGCAATCAAGAATCTCAGCCACTTATTTCTGTAGGAGCTGCAGGAGCTCCCTGTAAAGGGAGGTTAGGGAGAGTGTAGCTTCAGAGTTTCTCCATTTTTCCCAGATGTTCCCCCAAAAGGTCATGACACTTTATAAGAATGCTTCACTTGTGAAAAACAAATATCAAAGTCTTCTTGTAAATTATATTTAAGGACAAATCTTCATTCCATGTTTAATTTATTTAGCATTTTATATGTGCAAATGTGTAAAATATCATCACCCAAATCTATATAACATGTTCTATTTCTATACTGTGATTGCAGGTTTATAATTCTGGAAAGATATACAGAACAAAAGATTTACATTTTTAATCACTTTAAGTGCACGGTTTTGTGGCATTAAGTATATTTGCACTGTTGTGCAACAGTCACCACCATAGACCTCCAAAACTTGTCTTCTTCTCCAACTAAAACTCTGTACTCATTGAACACCAACTTCCTATTCCTCTCCCTCCCCCTCCCCGTAGCAATCACCATTCTACTTTCTGTCTCTACAAATTTCACAAAGTATCTCACAGAAATGGCATGATATAGAATGTTTGAATTTCTCGAACTGGCTTATTTCACTTGGCATATCTTCAAGTTTCATCTATTTCATAGCATGTTCAGAATATTTTAAGGCCGAATATTATGACATTGCCGTATATACCACATTTTTTTAACTACTCATCCATCAATATTCACATGGGCTGCTCCTTCCCTTTGATTATTGTGGATAATATTGCTCATGGACACACTGCACAAACATCTGTTTGTTCCCTGCACTCATTTATTTTGGATATGGATTTGCATTTTAATACAAAGGAGAAATTATGCAGCTTTTAAAAAGTGTCCAAATGAAAAGGAGTACGGCATCAGTAAAATATTAGAAAGTAGATTATTGGAAAAAGTAGGGAGAGAATTGAACCAAAATTTAATAAGCAGTGTAAGAGAGTTTCAAGACGAGGGAAAAAATTGACAATATAAACAGAGAATTAAATAGTGAAAGGTCGATATTTAGAAAATTGTCACATGTACCCATATGTTGCCTGTGAGCTGATATTTACATTATTGTTTTATTCCAGGTTTCCAAAAGTAAGTGCAATGTGAGAGTTTCATGATGCTAAATAAACTGAAACGTGATACATATTTTGATGGATTGTCCTTGAGAGCAGGCTGGTGGTAATTAGTGCAATTTTAAATTATGATATGATAGTGGAGTCAATCTGCCAAACTGAAAAAAAGTATATATACAATGTGTATATGTTTCTCAAAACCCCGTTGTATCATACAATTAAATTATGATTTAAAGCTACCTGACAATTACTGGAGGAAAAAATGAAACATTTACATTAATATTACCACAATTTTGGTATTATTGCAAATATCAAAGCGTGTAGTACTTAGGGATAAACCTGCAAAAAAGAGAAACGTTTGAAAATTATGAAACTATAAAATATTGTTAAAATAAATAAGAGACCTCAATCAATGGAATGTATGAGTCATAAATCTCAATACTGTTAAAATGTCTTTTCTTCCCACATTGATCTATAAGAATTCCAATCAAATCACAGCTGTATTCCTTATTTTAGAAATTGAGAAACTAAAATTCTGAAATGTATGTCGATGGGTAGAGGACCTATAAAGGCAAATTACTTTGAAAGGAAACAATTACTTTGAAACCAGGTGCTGTTGGAGAATTAACAGCACCTGGTTTCAAGACTTATCAAGTTACAGTACTTAAGACAATGTGGGACAAATATAGATATACACATGTATATCAGCTTTCAGCTAGTTTTTAATAAAGTTCTTAGAGCATTCATGGACATAACATTTTCAACAAATGCTTCTGAAACAATTAGATATTCCAGTGTGTGTGTATGTGTGTGTGTAGCTCAGTACTTCACACCTGAGAGGTATGAGCGTGCATTACCAAGGGGAACTGAGAAGCTTTGAGAGTATTGGATATACTCACTGATCCCTTCACGGTGATTGTTTAATGGGCACATGTATACATCAAATTCATCTCATTAGGCTTTAAATATTGGTAGTGTATTTTATGTTCATTCGACATGAATAAAGCTGTAAATGTTATCAAAATATTCACTTACTATGCTTCTATTCATTTTACTCTCTCTCCAGAGACCTTCAGATAGAAAATGCAGTTCAAAGATATTTCATAAAGGAAGAAAAGAAGTATGAAGACAGGTGAGAGATAGTACTCAGATTTTTTTTTTTTTCAGTGCAATCCTGGTCTTTTGTGACTAGCAATATTTTTATGTGCAGAAGTAGTAGAAAAGATAAATATTTTGTACAGTAGAGAAACGCATAATTTCTGTGCCATGGAAGAGATAACTCACAAAGATGACAGCTTCTGACTATGTTGGATACTATCTAGTATTGTAACTAACCAACGATCTCACCTTAACATTGGCTGTAAAGCTACTTTAATGTTCCTTGCAATGATTGAACCTTTTACTGGAAACTTCATTGCTTACTGAGTTGAATAACACTGTTGATACGTGTTTATCTTATATTAGCACTAGAGTCATAATTTTACTTTTAGAAAATTAAAATTAAACAACACTTGAAATTATATATTTTTAATGTTTCAACTGTGATCTCACTCCACATGCATCTTTAATTCTTATTTGATAAGGATAGCAAATACAGAAAGAATTCTTGTGATAATAGAGAACACAGAACTGTTGAACGGTGTTGAAGCTGAGCTGGAGAGAGTCACCAAAGCTGGCACGGAAGCTGGCAAGGTCGGAGAGTTTCCTGCCTGGACACAGCTTGAGCTCACCCCTGCGCCACCACCAGTGGCAGAAACTGCAGACCCAGCTGGGCCCTGAGGCCTCCGCCCCATCCTCCCACCAGCCAGGAACTGTGCTGAGGTCGCAGATAGGCGACCCTGGAGGGGTGCGCCTGAGGGAAGGCGGCCCATGTTCCGGACAGCAGCAGGACACCAGGATCCAGGGACCCACCTCCCACCGCGGGAACCCCAAACCTTGCCTGGCGCCCCTTGCTTGCTCCGCCTGGCCTCCAGGGGCCGGTGTGTGTCCTGGTCATGAGGATGCACAGCAGGTGCCCGGGAGTCCCCCTCCGCCATGGCCTACCGCTCTGCCAGCCATCACGCCTGGTTCCCAGACCGCAGCGCAGCCTGGCTGCCTCTGATCCCGCCAGGCCGGGACCTGTCCTCCTCCTGGGCGACCAGCCGGGGGAATGCACACTGCCCGGTGGCCTGCACAGCCCCTGACCGCCCATCCCCTCTGGCGCCTCCGCCCCAGGCCAGGACCTTCCTGTAGCACAGAACCCACCTTCCTTCCCGCCTCAGAGCTGCTCCGCTTCCGCCACCCACAGGGAAAAACTCAGATCTCCAAACAAACAGAAATCCGCGTGTGACTCCTCTGGTTGGATACTGCCAGTCCCCACATTTACTTCCAGGAGTTTTCTTAGCAGAAGGTGTCCGGCATTTGATGTTTCGCCAGCGATGAGGCTGAAAAGTGACAGCAATAGAGAAACACATCAGGCTTTCCGCAACAAAGATGACCTTCCCTTCTTCAAATCTCAGCAATCTCCAAGGCCCACAAAGGACTCAGGACAAGATGACTGAGCTGGAGTACTCGGCCCAGGAAATGCAGGCCCAGAGTGGGTCACCTCCTTAGGGCAGGCCCAGCCTTCTCCTGGCTGCCTGGGTGCCTTTCTCCTCACTCCCACCCAATGCAGGGGACCCCACAAACTCGGCTCTCGGGGCTCCCTGCACCTCCCTCCACAGGAGCCACCTCCTGCCCGCCAAGCTGGGGCCTTCTGGGGCATCCTGGGCTGAGAGGGCAAGGTGCCAGCTCTGCACGCTGGAGAAGGAACACCGCTACACTGTCACACTGACACACCGCCACACGAAGACACTACCACACGGGCACACCACCACATGGCCACATGGACAGACACACACATGGAGATGTCACCATACGGACACACAGACACACCACCACACTGTCACATGTACAGACACACGGAGACATTACGACACGGACACACTGCCACACTGTCACATGGAAGGACAGACAGACATACGGAGAAGTCACCACACAGGCACAGCACCAGACTGTCACACGGACACAGACACACGGAGACATCACCATAAGGACACACGACCACATACCACAGGGACACACAGACACACAGAGACATTACCACACTGTCACAGGGACACACCATCACTCTCACACGAACACACAGACACACTGCCACATGGACACTGCCACACACACAGACACACCGCCACACTGTGACATGGACACACCTCCACACTGTCAGATACCACCACACAGACACTGCCACGTGGACACAAGGACACACAGGCACATTGTCACCTGGATACACAAACCTGGGAAGCCACATCTGAAGGAACTGCCAGGTGACTAGGGCCATAAGTCAATCAAAGTAGACTTTCCCTGGCTTGCATACAAGTCATTTAAACTGTGGTGAGATGGTATCTCATTGTAGTTTTAATTTGCATTTCTCTGATGATCAGTGATACTGAGCACCATTTCTTATACTGTTTGCCATTTGTAGGTCTTTTTTTGAGAAATATCTATTCAAATCTTTTACCCCTTTTTTAAACCAGGTTATTAATTGTTTCTTAAAGAGTTGTTCGAGCTTTTTATATATTCTGATTATTAATCCCTTGTCGGAAGAGTAGTTTGCAAATATTTTCTCCCATTCTGTGGATTGTCTCTTAATTTTGTTGATTGTATCATTTTCTGGGCAGAAGCTTTTTAACTTAGTGTGATCCATTTGTCCATTTGTGTTTTGGTTGCTTGTGCTTGTGGGTATTGCTCAAAATATTTTTGCCCAGACCAATGTTCTGGAGATTTTCCTCAAACTTTTTTTGTACTAGTTTTATTGTTGGAGTTTTAATCAACTTTGATTTTACTTTCATGTATTATGAGAGATACTAGTCTGTTTTCATTCCTCTGCATATGGATATCCAGTTTTTTCAACACCATTTACCACCAGTGTATGTTCTTGGCACCTTTGTCAAAAATGAGTCCACTGTAGCTATGTAGATTTGTTACTGCGTTCTCTATTCTGTTCCATTGATCTATGGCTCTGTTTTTATGCCAGTACCATATTCTTTTGGTTACTATAATTCTGTAGTATGATATGAAGTCAGATAATAGAATTCCTCCAGCTTTATTTATTTATTTATTTATTCATTTATTTTTGCTTAGGATAGTGTTATTTCTTATACTGAAAGCATTGTTATTTATTATTAGTCTACTTTTATAGTTTTACAATGCTATCCTCTTTTACATAGCTATGATCAACTCAAGGTGTCCAGATCAGGGTTAATTGTAGCTATTTGAAAAGTAGCAATATTCTGGCTGGGCATGGTGGCTTATGCCTGTAATCCCAGCTGTTTGGGAGGCCAAGGTGGGCAGATCACCTGAGGTCACGGGTTCAAGACCAGCCTGGCCAATGTGGTGAAACGCTGTCTCTGATAAAAACACAAAAATTAGTTGAGGATGATGGCAGATGCCTGTAATCCCAGCTGCTCAGGAGGCTGAGGCAGGAAAATTGCTTGAACCCGGGAGGTGGAGGTTGCAGTGAGCCCAGAATGTGCCATGCATTCCAGCCTGGGTAACCAAGCGAGACTTCATCAAAAAACAAACAAACAAAGGAGCAATATTCTGTGTAATTGCTGACAGCTTAATTCACTATTATGTGGATCAGAGAGCAGAGGATTCTGAATGCATGAACATATCTTTAACATTTCAATACATTACTCATAATTACTAATGAACTAAAGAGAAACCGAGAAATTATGGTGATAGTTATATTGACCTGGAGAAATGTAGACATAAAAGAACAGTAAGATGAGAAATGTGTTCACATGGTCTATAAGAGCACACAAGAATAAAAATGGGGAAGAAAACATGAGAGTTTTCAACAGATTTCTGGTCATGTAAGTCAATTTGTATCAGTTAATTTTTAAAAGGTTTATTTACATGCAATAAACTGCACATACTTCAATTGTACCTTTTGATTATTCTTGGTATTTGTAGCTCTATAAAACCAACAACATATTCAAATAAAAAGCATATCCATTACCTTTACCACCAAAGTTTTCTTGTGTTTTTTCTACTTACTTTCTCTTGCCTATCCCCATCCCATCCACAGGCAACCACTGATCCACCTGTAGTCCCTGTGAGTTTTTATTTCCAAATACATGAAATCATAGGGTGGGTATACTTTTTCATCACTCAGCATCACCATTTTGGAGATTTATTCATGTTGCTACATCTATCAATTGTTCTGTTCTTACTAGGGAGTATTATTTCATTATATACATATACCACAGTAAATTTTTCAGTCACAAATTCACCTGTCCGTGGACATTTGGACTGTTTTCAGGTTTTGGCTATTGCAAGTAAAGCTGCTATGAAGATTCATGTAAAATCCATTGAATGGGCATATGCGTTAGGTTTTCATCTCCACTGGAAATGGAATAGATAGATATATGGCTATCATGTCTGTAACATGAAAACACAAAGCCTGACAAAACCCATTTCTAAAGTGGAAACTCCACCAGAGAAGCTTGACTCCAGCCTGGCTTTTGAGACTATCTCCTATGTCTGGTGCAATGACTGATCCTGGGGTAGCCACATGACCCAAGGAGGACCATGTTTAAACTTCTGAGTTTTCACCGAGATTAATATGCATTTGTTGAAAGAGAAGCCCCTTTGCCTCCTCTCCTAGCTGCAAATGCTTTCAGGGATCACATCATGCTGGAGCATGTGGTTACAGTGTTTCCTAAACTTTGCGGGGAAAAATTGTTCAAGTGGGCAAAAATGGAGTAAATACAAAGAGAAAAGCAGTCCAGAAGTATCAAATAAAAAAGAAACGGCCTCCATAAAATCATTTGAACTTATGATTAATTCAATAGTCATTAAAACCAGTTTAGTGTACAAAGAATCATCCCCTCCACCACCCTTTATTCCTTCACCAGGTTTAAGGTACATTTTTTAACTTGCAAACAAAAGTTTTGTCATTGACTCAGACATTAAAATCCCTTGTCTCCAAGAGCAATCATTCAATTCTGTCCCTCTCATTGTTAGAATAATATGTTCACTTTATTCTGCATACACCTCTCCTTTGCCCTTGTTTGCCTATTCTATTAGAGTTATATTCAGACATGTATTTCATTTTATATCAAAGAAACTGTATAGATGTTCTTAATCTTACAAAAAGTTCTGAGTAATTTTTTGCCTCATATTTGATTTTAAGCTACCCAAGAAGCATTATTTTCTCATTTAGTATTTTAACTTTTCTAACCTAGGACTTTTATAGTAGATATTATGTCTTTTTCTAAATGCCTTGCTTCAATTTACATTTTAAATGTAATTTTTAAAAAGTGTATGTTTTAAATATTTGCATCTTGCAGCTCAGGCCTAAATATCCCTTAATAACAAATATTGTCTTTTTTTATGTATATTTTTCACATATTTCAGTTGTGAGGTATATTGCCACAATAAAAGTTTTTGTCAACATAACAGAACACATAGGCAAAATATTGTTTCCAAGTGATTGATGATGTGATGCTTTCAGTCTAGTGACAATCCCTTGAAGTAATCATCATCCCTATATCTAATGAAATACAAATAAATATTTCACTTTGTTTCTAAAATTCAGCCGACAAACATATAGCCTGTCACATACAGCCTGTAACACCAACATATAAAAATTAAAGCAGTTCCTTCTCCACTCCCACTGCTTCACTTGACTAGCCTTAAAATATAATAACAATAATAAAAAATAAAAGCAAAACTGTTCCTTAACTTATGTTTGAAATTTAGTGGATAGCCTATCATAAAAGCACTTATATGTATGGAGGGCCTCTGTAAAATATAGACTTTTAACAGAAAAGTAGACATATATGATAGTTAAATTAAAAACACAATTATATATAGTACCATCACAAACGCACCAGGACTTGTTTTAGAATGCAAGATGTAATTGACTAAACCATTTAGGGCTAGACCTCTGAAACAAAAGGCATTCACACTTTGCGATTCTAGGGGGACAATATTATTCAAAATAGAAGCATGCAGAACCTTTACCTGATCATGATAAAAATCTTTCCTACTTGTTAATCCGCCGCAGCTTTTACAAGGTCAGCAAAAAGAGATTATCCCACAGTATAAGCTGATGGCCAAAATTATCCGCTTTACTTTAGGTAACATGATATCTATTAACTGTAAATTTATTCTGAAAGAAAACAGATACATTTTTCTCAGAAATGTCTTTAGATGAAGATCTGGCACAACTGTTTTGCTCGCTTTTTAAAATTTTGTTTTTATTGATAAATAAATATATATGGATACAATGTGGTACAATACATGTAAATATTGTGAAATGGACAAATTAGGTTAAATAACATATCCTCCACCTCACATATTTATTACATTATGGTGAAATATTTGAAACGTAGTATTTTAGCAGTTTTAAGATACGCACTTCATTATGAGTAACTGCTGTCACTTTGCTGTGCACCATATCACCAGAATGTATCTCTCCTTGCTGAAGCATTATCCCATTGAATAGTTCCCCTTTTCCCACCCCCCACTCCGCCCTGATCAGCCTGTGATAAACCGCCATTCTAATCCTAACTTCACCCCCGCCCTGCTCAGCCTCTGATAAAGCACCATTCTACTCCCAACTTACCTGCACCCCGGCCCTGCTTAGCCTCTGACAAACCACCATTCTACTGCCGACTTCCCCCCGACCCCGCTCAGCCTCTGATAAACCACCATTCTACTCCCAACTTCCCCCTCCCCCGCTCAGCCTCTGATAAACCACCATTCTACTCCCAACTTCCCCCTCCCCCGCTCAGCCTCTGATAAACCACCATTCTACTCCCAATTTACCTCCCCCACCCCGCTCAGCCTCTGATAAACCACCATTCTACTCCCAACTTACCCCCCCGTCCCACTCAGCCTCTGATAAACCACCTTCACTCCCACTCCCCCCCCCCCCCTCTGATAACCACCATTCTACCCCACCCCCCCGCCCACTCAGCCTCTGATAAACCATCATTCTACTCCCAACTTCCCCCCTACCCCGTTCAGCCTCTGATAAACCACCATTCTACTCCCAACTTCCCCCCGACCCTGCTCAGCCTCTGATAAACCACCATTCTACTCCCAGCTTCCCCCCCCACCTCCCCACTCAGCCTCTGATAAACCACCATTCTACTCCCAACTTCCCCTCCAAAGCCCTGCTCAGCCTCTGATAAACCATCATTCTACTCCCAACTTCCCCCCCACAGCCCGGCTCAGCCTCTGATAAACCACCATTCTACTCCTAACATCTGTGAGTGCACATTTGTGGATTTCACATATAAGTGATATTATGAGATATTTGTCTTTCTGCATCTAGCTTATTTTACTTCGTATAATATCCTCTAAATTCATCCATGTTTTTACAAATGACAGAATTTCATTCATGTATAAAGATAAGTAGGATTTTTGTATGCATCCTACATATAC